TTATAATTCATGTGTATGTCCCAATTCCCGCCTTGATGTAAATGGAGCTAAGTGCAAAGTCTGTGACTCGAATAATATACGTCAAAGTGACCAATATTTGACATATTTGTAAATGACATGTATTTCCCAAGATGTCTCTTTTTCTAGCATTCGATTTGTAGAACTAATCGCAAGTCTAACCAAGATGTCATTGTGCGATAACAAATCTTCTGCTTGTCGAAGTTTGCTTTAAACGACTTGGTGTCCAAAGTCTTATAAAGCGTACATGGTTCTGACGTGTATTGTGCTTGTTCTGATCTCATTGAACTTTTCTCTTTGAAATACATTTCTTTTTGAATATCTGAGAGAAAATTAATTGAAAACTAGTTTTCTTTTAAAAGTCCATCGTCAAATTCTACATAATGAGATTGCACATTGTTTAAATAAATACATATTTATGAGTTTTACGTTTCAGGTTGGTTCCGATCAAACGGGTATCTGCCAGACTTCGAGACAATGTCAGAATGTGATCTAAATGACCAGCTTTGTCGATTCTACCTCGATGCCCGGACAAAGGATGACAAACCTTTCACAAGGAGTAGCCTGCTCGGGCTTCGGGCCAGCCTCAACCGTTACCTCATGTCACTTCCTCCTGGAAGGAAGCAGTGGAGATCCATCCTCAAACACCCTGCGTTTACCACATCTAACAGGATAATGAACCGGAAATCAACAGAGGAGAGGAAGAGGGATATACCACCGAAAACTGTGCCTATCTCTCCAGCGGATCTCAAAATGTTGATGTCGTCCAAGATCCTACAAACCTCATTACCTATAGGGCTTCAGAAAAAAGTGTGGTTGGACATCGTTCTTCACTTCGGTCTTCGTGGTAATAAGGCAATGTGGTCACTGACTAAGAACTCCTTTGTGCTGGATGAAGACGATGTTGGGCGACAATACTACCATCTAAACCATTACGTTGAGATGCCAAAACAGGAAGTGTACTCGGAAATGAAGGACTGGTATTGGTTTTCACGAATGTACGAGATCGCAGACAATCCGGAGTGTCCTGTTCAGAGTCTAAAAAAGTATCTACAGAAGCTAAGTCCGAATTGTAACGAGTTCTTCCAGAGAGCCGTGGAGTCCCGGGTACTTTGTAGTGCCGCCGATGAGGATGCTCCCTGGTACCGAGGGGCGATGGGTGACCATGCGGTCATGAAGATGATGAGCGACATATCTAGGTTAGCCACGCTGTCCCACATCTACACCAACACCTCCGTCAGGTCCACGCTTGACGTCTTGCTGGGAAAACAGGGAGTCATTCTGGATGTACTTTTCGTGCAAAAAGGAGAACCACTCACTTCAGAAGGATTGCATTTCAAAAGCATTTTGATTCACGACGCATTCTACAACTGTGCAGGGGAATGAACAGTGAATACACAACTTGCATCCGCATAGCCGAGTGAGAGTTTTGTTATATCGTCCGTTTATCTTCTCTCGTATTGTTCTGAAACATCTAAACCTATTTTATTTTGGATAATAACTAAACACTATTCTTACTCAATCTAATTAAAATTATATCATCACATCGCTCCTGTTTACTGATATGTCGCGTTGAAGATCTAACAACATCCCGTAGAGAGTCATGTTCAGGCGACCTTTGCATTAACCAATCAGATGAGAGCTTACGCATTTCTGTAAGTGATGATGTAATGATTTCGGAACACACTTGCTATGGTAAAAGACCGAGAGGTGTCAAATGAGCATCGAAAATGGCGGCGCCCATGACACCACGCATTAAATGCTACAGGTCCTGCTTTCTGATTGGTTGAAAGAAAGAGTTATGTCGCGTTTTGTTTGGCTTGTTATAAATACGATAACGCATTCATGTTGACCTCTGACGTGACCCTCTATGGGATGTTGTTAGATCTTCGACGCGACATATCAGTAAACGGGAGCGATGTGAAGATATAATTTTAATTAGATTGATTCTTACTCTTCGTTATGTTTGGTTTGAGGCTTGCCTGGACAAAAAACAACTATATATACCACCAAAAAGCACAGACGGTCAAATAGGGATACGCAAATAAGTTATCAAATTCAATGGAATCATGTATGAATGACTGGATGCAAACGGGAATTAATAAGGAAGTTTTATTTAGAAAAAAAATGTCCCTCAAAGAGAGCTAAATTTAACTTGAATTGCAGAATCCGTACGCCAACTCGATTCAAGAAGTGAGGCGTTCTTCAAACGGCGGACTTGTTTGATCAATGTTTTTGAGATCACATCAGAGAAACAAGTAAGAGAAGCTTTCTGGAATGTGACAAAGAATCTATTGCGTTTGGTTTATTTCATTAGAGCGTAAAACAATCAGTAAATAGACTGTCTTGGTCATTTTGTTGCACTATGCTTTTGTTGCAGCATCAACGACATACAGTTATCTCGAGATAACAAAAAAAACGAGGCGAGAGTTATGAAACACTCGTTATTGCAAAATAACTCTCAGATATACGAAGAGCAGTGGTGTAACATAAGAGACGCGATTTCCCTTAATATGGATCCATCCGATGAAACCACGGAATTAGATTAGCGATCTAAGTCCGTGATGTAACTAGGACGGACAACCTAATAAAAGCGGTGTACACAAACCATGCTCGAACGCGTAAACAATGGGAAATGATGGACGCTTATCATCACGTGCACGTGAGTGACATTATATTAGTGACACCTGGCAACGTTATTCAATAAATTGTTAGTGAGCACGCAGAGGTGTGAGAAATACCTTCATACCACAATTACGTAATGCTGAATCGAAAGTAAAGGAACTCAAAACAGATAAATGGAAAAACATTGCGAGTAAAATGGTGATGTTTATGAATCGTGTTGAGGAATGGTTTAAAATCGCTATTATATTGCGTAAATACGAATGTTTGTGGAATAGTTGGTAATAAAAAATGGTGTAGACATGAATAATTGTCCGATTATCATTAAGATATTGACAGAAATTGGAATCATTTCAGTTCCTCTATTTAATGTACTTGCCGGCGACATAAGAATGTACCTCCATCCTTAATTAAAATACACATCGTCTGCACCTTGTTTCTTTCTTCCTCCTTTCGCTCTCAGTTCAATCATATAATACACTATTTTTTGTCACTATCAAGTAGACCTTCTCTTCTATTTATTCTCTCGTGTAACTCAAAGACGTCGATTAGACAAGTCATTAATCAACATCATTGTAAATCAGACAGATATATAAGCACTGGTATGCTCTTAAAACTAAGATGATGCTGACTGGAAGTATGGGAGAGTTACCCCTCAAATTTACAGAGGACAAATTTGTTAAAACACTAAAATTATTTCTTCTTGATAACCAAAATGTCTACGATGGCGTTATAATGTTGGTAGGATTATAAATTTGGCATTTAGCTAGCAAGCATAGAGCTTTACAAAAAAGAAATCACCTCAACATATATTTTAGGTCACAGGGGTCTTATTTGTTAAAATTATGTCCTCGAAGGAGCCTAAAGGCCTAGGTCCAAGGATAATGACATTTGGCCATCAGCATGTTTGAATGGCGTTCTACAAAGTTAAAACAGAAAAGGTCAAATTAATCAGGTGAGAGTCTTAAAGCCCGTGGGCCTCTTGCTTCTGCTATTTTAATTTGTCCTGGAATAACAATATCTTGCATCTCATTTCTCCACAGAATTTGAAATTAAAGACACAAAATTGTCCTCTTCATCGACTTTATCTTTTGACATTTATTCACATTATGATCTCACTACCAAACTCTATGGCAAAGCGATTTCTTTATTCAGACGTAGCTTACAGCTATGTCAACAGTCAATCGGGAACCGTCGGCCCTTCATAAATTAGCCTGTCAAATCTAGCTACTGAAAAATGACAATTAGCAATGAAATTATTCATGATTTATTTTATTTCTTATTCAAATGTCATGTCAATAAATATGCATAATTAAATATTAGTCAGATTAAAACACAATAGATTCAATGTTGTAATATTTCTTTATTTTTCCAGTCCACACTGACATTCAAAGATAATACATGTAGTAACAACCACAGCATGGTGGCCAAATCACACACACACACACATAGCTATAGACCATCATGGCTAATTAAATTGTATTTTTCGAATTTGATCACATTGGTAAACTCATATTTACATCACAAAAATGATGTAATTTGAAAGATTGGTATTTGCCTAAAAACAGTTTTATGTACTGCAATAACTATATGAAATTGACAAATAATTTCTTCTCTTGCTTTGTAACCAAGAAAGTGAAACCATAGAGCCAGTTATGGTGGGGGATCTTGTTAAAAAATAAGCCGTTTCATATTATCAATTAACCTAACAGCCAAACAATGGATTTCCTGCGTTAATGAACTAAGTATCATCGACGGACAGGAAATGAGTAATGGTATTGTAAATCAAAGTTTTACTTTATACACAAACAATTGTGTCGCATCGTTTTAAGACTGACTGGTCTTACATGTAGCTTGACAAAGGGACCACGACAAACGGAACACTCGGTATTGAAACGTTGCGACACGTTTAATATGTACATTGTGTATAAAGTAAAACTTTGATATTACGTATTTCCAAACTGATGAATCTTATTGAAAATAATGGTATTGAACAGATCAACATCTGCTGTAAATACAAGGAATCATGCTCTGAGATAGTAACTCCAGCCGAGCATGAGAATATTTTTCAAAGATGACTTTTCAAAGAGGCACGGTAGTCTAGTGGTAGGACGCCGGGCTCGTGACCGAAGGGTTGCGGGATGAGTCACGTCACCGCACTGTGTTGTATCTTTGAGCAAGATACTTTACTCCGTTTGTTCCAGTCTACTCAGCTGTAAATGAGTATGTGGTTGAATTGTTGAATGCTAGCTGTTAGCGCTGAAATGGCAGCACTGGCTGTATGCTCCCTAGGGAGTTGAGAAAGATATTGGCTGGTTGCAAAGGCCCTATAACCACGGATAATAATTTGTGAACCGCTTTGAGACGACCTACGAACTAGGTTGTGATAAAGCGGTATATAAGAACCTCAAATTATTATTATTACTATAAATTCAGTTTCTTCTTGGTTATATAGATTTATCATCTGGTCACCTGACCAAAATAAAAAATTATTCCTTAAATCACATATTTAAAAAAAAAGTTGTATATGAAAATAAATTCCTGCCATTCACAGAATTCGTTTACACTCCTATATTAAAATAATTGAAGATCAGGTAGAAAAACAAAAGAGTATTAAACTACTCAGAAAAACACTTGATTCTGAAGGCAATACAATTCATGGAAAACCAAGTTCCAACCGGTGAACCCACAGTTACAATGTTTACCTAGAATTACATGAAACACCTGAGATTTTTTTACATCTGAAAAGTCCTGATGTACACACACAAGTAGTTTGGTTAGCTCTCTGGTTTAGAAGTAAGGGTATATCTAGCACTTCTTGATCTAAAATAAAGGTATTTCTGGTATTATTGATTTAAAAATGGTCACAAATCTGGAACTTTTTTAATTTGTTGACCTAGAAATGCAAGTACATCTGGAGCTTATTGAACTGTGAGGATGTCTGGACTTTGTTGATGTAGAAATGTAAGTACTTCTGGAATTGTTTGATCTAGAAATGAGAGTACTTCTGGAACTCGTTGATTTCCTCCTCTATTTCCTGTTGACGTATAAGTTCCCAGTACAAACCTTTCTTCTTCTTCAGACTGGTATGATCTCCCATCTGTAACACACAAAACATAAATTTACTGTTTCATACAAGCCTGCAAACTAACCTGCATGCTTGCAAGCACACTCCTAATTTGTAGTACATGTATTTCCAAAGAACCAAGGAGAGTTTATGTCCTACTGTGGCCTCTGATGTTGTCCAACTAGCATCTGTCCAACACCAGTTTGACAGCAAACATCCTTAGGTGATTAGAATTCCAAATTGTGCAAATGGCGGGTGCTCTTGTTTTAATTCTTGTATCTTCCTCTGTTTTCTACCAAAGACTTTGGTTTCATTTTTTTTTACATGTTTCATTTCACATTTTTTTTTATTGAATATTGCATATCTTATACAAATTCAAAAGGAATTGGGCAACAGGCGTAATGCCTATACAAGCCCTCTCCTATGGTATGAACAAAATATATTATAATATATTTATTGTGGAATAATTTAAAAGTTTTTTCTACATCTAGGACATGTTAAGGTATCTGAGGCGTTTTTAAGAAGTAAGGCTATAAAAAGGATCTGGTACATATCAGATTGTGGGGGAATGATCTGACTGATAATTGTTATGACCCTCAGCACTAAGCATTATGTCAGTACACAGAACTTGCATCATGTGATCAGACAAACACGATCTCTTTACCTCAACAATTTTGCCACCAGATACGACGGCTATCACATCGGCATCTCTGATGGTACTGAGGCGGTGAGCAATGACTAGTGTGGTCCTGCCTGAAAACACAAAACATAACATAATCTAACATGGCTTTGATTAGTAACAACTGGGGGATGGAGACCCAACGTCCCTGCAAGAAAGTCAGTTCCATAGTGGCGGTAGGGATCCTGGGGTCATTGTACCATAGTTGCAAACATCATGTAACTTTGATCTGAAGACGGCCTCCCTTTGGCCGAAACATGTCAGCACGTGGGATGTAAATCAAACATTACATTTTGTACCGGATTCAGTGGTGTTGTTGCTCATCATTTCTATTTTAATTTGGATGGCTTTGATAAGTTTCTATGATATAGTTTCCTTTAAAGTTTGTAGAACACTTAACTTGTATATCTTGTCTAACTATTTTTCAATTTTGATCACGAGTATGAAAGTTCAAAAGTAACATAAGAAACTTAACCTGTGATTTAAAGTTTGAAATTATGAAAAAGTAACTCACTTTTGTGTCCATTTAGTTGATGCAAATCTTGATATTAATACTGTAAATTAAGAAGTTTATAGACCATTCTGAAGCAGTAAGTTACCGAGAACAGTGGGTTACCTACCCTTGATGACTTGATCTAGGGCCTCCTGGACAATTCTCTCAGACTCGGCATCTAGAGCACTGTAATTGTAATGCATAGCGTTAAACTACAGCAAGATCAGACGATGAACCACAGATTTTTCAAATTTAAATCAGAAGTGAAGTTTGTACAAATACATCATTCTGACCCGAACAGCTTTGTTACCAGTTACCTTGTAGCCTCGTCCAGGATCAGGATGGAGGGGTTTTTGATGAGGGCACGTGCAATGGCTATCCTCTGTTTCTGCCCCCCTGACACAGTGACACCCCTCTCCCCCAGGACGGTGTTGTACCCCTCAGGAAATTGGCTGATAAAGTCGTGGGCATTGGCCAGGGTGGCGGCCTCTATCACCTGAAAAGATAGAAGATAATAAGAAAGGCCCTTTACCTATTTGAAAGCGCTCAATGGTTAAAAGTACATCACACAACAACATCTAATATTATGCTAGGTAAAGGAAGCAGAGACCCCTGCTTCATAGTGATTTGAAGTTGTGTTGTCACTGAGGCTTAACCCTTTCACCACTGTAGACCAAAATGGACTCGTCCATATCAATGCATGGCAGAGTCTACTAAAGTAGCATAGGGGTGAAGTGGTTAACACACAAGAAAGACACAACCTGGAACTCACAACATTAATTATTTATTTAAAGGCTAACACCTTTCTTAGTTCCTGAAAAAGTTTTACTCCGTGACGTATATCATACATGAAGTTAATATTAAAGGACATTTTGATCAAGTGTATATTTTGTTTTAAATATTATGGAGCTGAATATCATTATGCTAAGTTCGAATGTGAAACTGATTTTAGACAATAAGTTCTAATAATGTGTCACACCTTGCCCTCGTTTCACGAATGTTCTTTAACTTAAGTCAATTTTTCTATAGAAAAAATCTTAACTGAAGGACATTAATTTCCCATAATTTCCATAATGCTCTCTTAAGGAGCATTCATGAAATCTGAGCCTGGTAAATAAAGTTGGTCAGTCAAGATTAGGAAGATCAAGGTACCAGACTACCATCCCTTACCTAAATGTCAAAATTCTCTCTGTTACCAGGGCTACATTCGCGTTACCGGTTGAAACGGTACGTGTGGCGCAGAAATTTTCCACGATAAACGAACACACTTGGACCGTTCTATAAGCAGAGCTAAAAATCCACAGTTTCATAGAATAAAAAACAATGTATCAAGAATATTATGCCCTTCTCTCACGCGTCCACTAAATTACATAACGTATCTTAAAAACTACATGTGGCTTGACATTGTTTTAGAAAGAAATAACGCAAACTAGCAATATTCAGCAGTTTAGTTTCGGCCAGGTACGTCTGGACCCCTCAATCTACACGTACCAAATTTTCCTGAGGTCAGCCTCGGTCCAAATCTGTACCTGTCGTTTTCTTTACAGGTTCAACCGGTTCAACCGTTTGAACCGGTAACGCGAATGTAGCCCTAAATACTGTCCCTTACCTCAATGTCAAAAACCTCTGTTACCAGAATATTGTCCCTTACCTCAATGTCAAAAACCTCTGTTACCAGAATACGGTCCCTTTTATTACCTCAATGTCAAAAACCTCTGTTACCTCAATGTCAAAAACCTCTCTGTTACCAGAATACTGCCTTTACCTCAATGTCAAAAACCTCTCTGTTACCAGAATACTGTCCCTTACCTCAATGTCAAAAACCTCTGTTACCAGAATATTGTCCCTTACCTCAATGTCAAAAACCTCTCTGTTACCAGAATACTGTCGCTAACCTCAATGTCAAAAACCTCTGTTACCAGAATACTATACATTTAATTACCTCAATGTCAAAAACCTCTGTTACCAGAATGCTGTCCCTTACCTCAATGTCAGAAGCTTCCGGCATGCCGTATCGGATGTTCTCCATGACCGAAGTTGCAAAAAGAACAGGTTCCTGGAGGAAAATCACAGTAGTTAATGGTTAAATACACAAATATATTGATAATTTTTAATAACAATCGCTAAAAAAAAGAGGAAAGATATTTTCACCAAATGGTAGAGAATTGACCAATGAATATGCTACTATGTGTATACCTGGTTGATGTATCCAACTGCATTGCCCCTGAGCCAAGTAGGGTCCAGATCCTTCAGGTCATATCCGTCTATAGTTATCTTCCCTTTCTGGACGTCGTAGAAACGCTCTAACAACACCGCCACTGTGGACTTGCCTGGAATAAGACATGAAACTTGTATGACACCTTCTCTGACAAAAGTATAGTATAGTCAGGTTTAATCCAGCCATACCTAGTCTGGTCATCCCACCAACCAACCAGTGCTCTGAGAACACATTACGTTTTATGTAGTGTCACATCAATCCAGTTTATTAAAATTTAGAGATAGATAATGTTATATAAACTTTGAGTTCAGCACCGAGTACTCGACACTGCAATGTCAAAAGATGACAATAGGCTAGTCTGTTTTATTGCATCTGTGATAAAAATAAATCTGAAAATTGTATTACATGACAGATACATCAAAATCAATCCCTTAAACTATATTTGTGAGAGATATTGTGATGGGAAATTTCTGAGGAAAATATGACACTAATTTCAAATAAGTTTTTAAATTCCAAAGAATTTCTCTAAAACAGAACTGTAGTATTATATCCAGCAGTATTGGATGTAGTTTCTTTTCCCTGTAAATTTTCCCCATGAAATTGAGAAAAAACATCTTTATTATAAAAGGTACAACTACTACTATATGACCTTGATATGAACAAAGGGGACTAAACATACCTCCTCCAGAGAGCCCAACAAGGGCCACTACTGCTCCAGACCGGATCTTCAGACTGAAATCATTCAGGACCGTCTACGGTACAAAAATCAAAACAATATTACTAATTCATACATTTTGAGATTTTCATTGTTATAAGAAAGGACCTAGTCACCACGTTAAGTAGAAACTGACTTTACCTAACTATCGGGGTGGGAGAAGTTTACCTAGTTGTTAGGGCAGGAGAAGCTGACCTAGTTATCAGTTAAGGAGACACTGACCTATATAAAAATGTACATATAGATAGTTCCAAATCAGGTTAGGAGAAGATGACCTAGTTATCAAGGTAGGAGAAGCTGACCTAGTTAACAAGGTAGGAGAAGTTGACCTAGTTATCAGGGTAGGAGAAGCTGACCTAGTTATCAAGGTAGGAGAAGCTGACCTAGTTATCAGGTTAGGAGAAGTTGACCTAGTTATCAGGTTAGGAAAAGTTGACCTAGTTATCAGGGTAGGAGAAGTTGACCTTTATGCATGGCTAGTTTCAAATCAGGTAAGGAGAAGCTGACCTAGTTATCAAAGTAGGAGAAGTTGACCTATATATGTAGCTTCATTCAAATCTGGGTAGGGGAATTTGCACTATTCTTGGTTAAAGATCCTCAATTTTGAATAAAATAGAGGTAATTTGTCCTGCAGATCACAGAAATGATAATAATCTTGATTGTATACATATATACATGTAGCTTACTTGTTCACTCCTGGTAGGATAGGCGAAGCTGACATTTTCAAATTCTACATTTCCCATGAGACTGTGGAAAGCAATCTTCTTCCCTCCTTTCAATGGAATGGATGGAACTGAGTTGATAAACTGTAAAACAAAAAATTCCATAAACAACTTCTTTGCATTAACAAAAGTACCCTGCTCAACGCTCTTTCGATTCAAATAGAATCACTAATAGTCTATCAGTGAAGTACTCCTCAAGATGTACACCTACATAAACTGTAGTCTGATGACTTTTTGATTCCTAGTATTATAGTTATGGAGCTAAATGCAGAGATTAATCAACATTTTAAATGGAAGGATGCATATATGGACAGACAGAAAGACAGACATTAATGTTCCTTCACTATGTTACAGAGGCATAAAGGAAATTGAGTCACTTGTCATGATGATAAGAGACAAACTTAAATATTGTTTCTTTTTTACCTTCACCTCTTCGTATTCTCTCTCAGTCTGGAAGACTTATTATTTTTGACATTTTGTATCAAATATCTTATTTATTTCAAGGTCAAAATATTTTACCTCAAATACTCTGGCCCCCGCACTCATGCCTCGTACGACATTGCCGAACAGCAGCGACATCTGTGCAAGGGACCTACAACAGGGAAAAAGGGGTTCATTAATAGCATAGTCTGTACCTGTAAGAACTCTGGCAAACTGTGGTGTTATGGTGAACTATGTTCTAGTTTGAAAAGCAGTCACATCACATGTAAGATCTGGTAAATGAATTCATCGTTGGAAATTAATATTTTAAAGTCAATGAAATTTAAAGTTAGAGGCTAACATTTGTATTTACCTTTCTATGGTTTGTGAGGCCACCAGGAATGACATAAGGTTACCAGCAGTGATTTCTTGTTTGGACATGAGCCATCCACCAGTAAATAAGGTTCCCAGGACAATACCTGGTTTCACAAACAAAAGGTAAAGTATTAAACTGCCTAACTGGTGTAAATAAAGGTGATGTGGAAACTTCAGCAATCTGGGATATTTGTAAGGCAATTAACATTGAGGACTTTATTTAGGAGGCACGGTAGTCTAGTGGTAGGATACCGGGCTCGTGACCGAAGGGTTGGCAGGTTCGAGTCACGGCACGGCACTGTGTTATTTCTTTGAGCAGGATACTTTACTTTGCTTGTTCCAGTCTACTCAGCTGTAAATGAGTATGTGGATGGGCAGTGCTTGAATTGTAGAATGCTAGCTGTGAGCGCCGAAACGGCAGCACCGGCTGTATGCTCCCCAGGGAGTTGAGAAAGCTAGTGGCTGGTTGCAAAGGCCCTATAACCACTGATAATATTTTGTGAACCACTTTGAGACGACCTACAAACTAGGTTGTGATAAAGCGGTATATAAGAACCTCAAATTATTATTATTATTATTATTATTATTTCATTTTGAGAGATTATTCATGTTATATCTTTTGTAAACAAGGTTCATCCAACATACTTATAATATTAAAAAATACCTGACAGAAAGCTTGCGGTACTTCTGTGGTTGGTACTACCTATACCTCTATTGCAAAACAGTCTGATATAGAATATATAGTGGTATATCTAAGGAATATTACCTACCATTCAATGCAAAGTTAGCAAGTCCCTGGAATGACCCTATACCAAGTCCAAGTTTTATATTGATTCGTCTTGCCATCTCAACTTCTCTTGAGTACAACCTGCAAGAAATATTATAATATCAAGTTATGATGGTTGACTCAAATAATTTCAAAAGTTTGTTCTCTCAGCATCTTTTAAAGAATTTAAGAAAATGGAATATCTGATTTCTTTTCCTTAGAAAATGGAGTAGCTAAACAACAGAAGGGAGCTAACTCTCCTATTTATGGAGTTATGCCCCTTTGTTGAAAAATGTTTAAACCACTCCTTCTGAAGTACTGCACTGATTTGCAAAGATACTTTGTACACATAACCCTTACATAGAGGGGATGTAAGTAAAGCATTTAGATTTGAATTACAATCTTCTTTTATGGAGTTATGACTCTTTTTGTAAAACATTGTTTGCACTACTCCTACCAAAGTACTTAACGCAACTGATTGATACTTGGTACACATAATTTTTACATTGTGGGGATAAGTATAGAAATTGGCGCTACCTCCCCTTATAAGGGAGTTTTGACTGTTTATAGGGGTATTAGTCTCCAATTCTGACGACAGTTCTACCTCTAATTTATTTAAATGCAAAGATGACAAAGCAACAGAAAGATGTTTTTCAGTGAAATTTGATTGAAAGGAATTTCTAATTTCTTGAAAATACAAAATATAAACAACTATGCAAACTCCTGGATGAGTCCTTGGACATTTTAACTTTATCTGTAATTAGCTGATGGTTCCCAGAAGTTGTTTTTGTAAATTTGGTAGCAATTGCTGCTTTACATTGTAGCTTTCATGTACAATATCTAAAATACCAAATCTATCTCAAGAATTGACGGGTGTCATTTGTCAGAATGTAATTGAAAATAAAATTAGCTGCATGTTGAAACACATGAATGTAGTATATATAACTTAGGTAGAGTATGGTCTTATCAACTGGTATGCTGGAAGAATTTATGAAAATGAAAATTAATAAAAATATAAGGGCACAAGATAAATGGCACAAGGTATATATAAGATTTGATAGACAACACAAAGATTAGTCTGCCGATAGTAATAGACTGTGCACAGTGGAGAGTTATTGAGACTAAGAATTAAACACTGTATCGCATCAAACTTCGATAATCTCATCTGTTCCAACTATAGATACGAGATACACTTACTCATTTTCCTTGTCCTCCATAGCAAAGGCACGCACTGTCCTTACATTACCAATGGCCTCATCTGCCAACGCTGTTGACTTGGACAACTGCAGTAAACAACAGGATTGTCATTCTATTCATATTGCCTTATACAACTGAACCATTACATCTGTATTCTCTATATATAGAGCCAAGGTTTTAAGTCTTGTACTGTGGTTTACCTAAATTAAGCTAAATGGTGGTTAAACGAAACAAGGATTATCATTTACACTTCTGTTAATATCTATGATAGATTTTGATATTGATCTTTTACAAAAAGTTTGGGATCACAATGTTCTCCGTTTACTTGACATTGGCGGCACATTGACTTACCTGTTCATTGGGCTGACCTTGACAATGTTGACTCTATGCCTTACCTGTTCATTGGGCTGACCTTGACAATGTTGACTCTATGCCTTACCTGTTCCTAGGGTAACCTTGACACTGAGGTCACATTGCCTTGTCTATTCCTGGACTGACCGTGACATCATTGCTGTTTCTATGCTTTACCTGTTTTGGGGCTGACCTTGACATAAAGCTCACAATGTCTTACCTGTTCTTGGGCTGACCTTGACATTGAGGTCTTAATGATTTATCACTTTAAGAGCTGACCTTGATATTGAGGTTACAATGTCTTAACTATTTAAGGACTGCCCTTGACATTGAAGGCGCATTGTCTTACCTGTTGCTGGGCTTACCTTGATATTAAGGTCACATTGTCTTACCTGTTGCTGGGCTTACCTTGATATTAAGGTCACATTGTCTTACCTGTTCTTGGGCTGACCTTGACAATGACCTCAGGCCTGATCCCATCACTGTGCCCACACCTACAATAGCTGGCAGGATAGTTACCATGGCAACTGTTAATTTTGGTGAAATAACGAACATGGAGCCCACACACCCTACAGCCTGAAAAAAATACACAAAAAGATGACAGGGTTATTTGTTCTTCTCAAACAAGAGTGGCAAATTCCTGAATGTATCATTTCATCTGGTCTTAATACTACATTGTATTTCATTTCACATAAATGAACAAGGAAATTAAATCTGACATGGACAATCAATAAAATGGCTTTTACAATGCAAGATAATCAATATCTACGAAATTATTAAGAGACCCTGTTACCCCCACCAGTGTACCGGGCTATACACACTGTTGTCAAACCCCCACCAGTATACCGGGCTATAAACACGGTTGTCAACCCCCCACCAGTGTACCGGGCTATAAACAGTGTTGTCAAACCCCCAGCAGTGTACTGGGCTATAAACAGTGTTGTCAAACCCCCAGCAGTGTACCGGGCTATAAACAGTGTTGTCAAACCCCCACCAGTGTACCGGGCTGTAAACAGTGTTGTCAAACCCCCACCAGTGTAACGGGCTATAAACAGTGTTGTCAAACCCCCAGCAGTGTACCGGGCTATAATCAGTGTTGTCAAACCCCCACCAGTGTACCGGGCTATAAACAGTGTTGTCAAACCCCCACTAGTGTACCGGGGTATAAACACTGTGGTCAACCCCCCACCAGTGTACCGGGCTATAAACACTGTTGTCAAACCCCCACCAGTGTACTGGCCTATAAACACTGTGGTCAAACCCCCACTAGTGTACTGGGCTATAAACACTGTTGTCAAACCCCCACCAGTGTACCGGGGTATAAACACTGTTGTCAAACCCCCACCAGTGTACTGGGCTATAAACACTGTGGTCAAACCCCCACCAGGGTACCGGGCTATACACACTGTTGTCAAACCCCCACCAGTGTACAGGGCTATACACACTGTTGTCAAACCCCCACCAGTGTACAGGGCTATACACACTGTTGTCAAACCCCCACCAGTGTACCGGTGTATAAACACTGTTGTCAAACCCCCACCAGGGTACTGGGCTATACACACTGTGGTCAAACCCCCACTAGTGTACTCGGCTATAAACACTGTTGTCAAACCCCCACCTGTGTACCGGGGTATAAACACTGTGGTCAAACCCCCACCAGTGTACCGGGCTATAAACACTGTGGACATTTACCCTGACTGGAAAATCAACAACATGCCAAACAGATGATTTGGTTTAATCCTTTCACCCCTAGGTAACTTTAGTAGACTCTTCCATGCATTGATCTGGATGAGTCCATTATGGTCTACAGTGGTGGAAGGGTTAATACTGCAGCCTTAACAGTCTAACAAACTTGGTACAAATTGTTCTCTTGCTTCAAAACTGTGGTCTAAACAGATAAAAAATCTTATTACAAACAGTTAACTAACACCGTTCGAGGTCATTTCAATTGCATGTGCATTATGAAGACTGTATAGCATGCTGTGTCTGTCAAAGTCCTTGCTTTTTAAAGATAATGTGGTTCAGATTCGTATTATTTTATTCCTTGAGTAAGACACATCGGAGAGTAGACATACAATGACATACAAATAATACATAATCCAGGTGGTTCCACCTACCTGAGTGCTGGCTTTCAGACCCTGAGATATACACAGCTTAAAGGAACTTTTGAAGTCTTGAATATCTGATGTTAACCTGGAGTAACATATGTAGAGTAGATACATAATAACATGTCCTATACAGTCAATAACATGTCCTATACAGTCAATAACATGTCATATACAGTCAATAACATGTCCTAGTATACAGTCAATAACATGTCCTATACAGTCAATAACATGTCCTAGTATACAGTTAATAACATATCCTAAACAGGCAATAACATGTCCTAGTATACAGTTAATAACATGTCCTATACAGTTAATAACATGTCCTATACAGTTAATAACATGTCCTATACAGTGAATAACATGTCCTATACAGTCAATAACATGTCCTATAGAGTCAATAACATGTCATATACAGTCAATAACATGTCATAGTATACAGTCAATAACATGTCCTATACAGTCAATAACATGTCCTATACAGTTAATAACATGTCCTATACAGTCAATAACATGTCCTAGTATACAGTCAATAACATGTCCTATACAGTCAGTCTGTACAAAGTCTTACAGATATTAGTTTAAATAAAGTAAACGAAGGAGCATCAACACCAAGGATTCTGTTACGGTAGACGTCTTATTGTTGTCATGTTTCGGTTGGCTAGGCCTACCGTCATCAGAACTATTTTACAGTGGCATTGTAGAGCTAAGGTGCAAATTACGGGTAACAATGTAATGACATCATGATATTGTTATGTAGATCACGTGATATAAACAAGTTTGGCGGGAAATTGTGACTGCAAATTGGCAACGTTGTTATCGGCTAAAATATAAACAGTATAATATTTTACTAAGCTATAAATTTGCACATTTTGCAATAGGAACAACTATCTCATTATGTGTCACCCACCTGTCAACCAGCTCTCCAGTTTTGTGTTTGTCAAAAAACTCTATGTCCTGTCGGAGGAGGGAATCAAAGAGGCGTGTTCTCATTCTAGCTGCCACGTTCTCTCCCACCGTGGCCAGCAAGGACAGGTAGGTACAGGTCAGGACACTCTACAGGTGTGTAGAACAGATACAGGTGTTACAACATTTAGACACAGATTAAGGATTAAAAGAACAAATCTGAAACGGATTGAAATACCTATTATTTAAGCAGATTCAAATCATCTAAAAAAGTTCCACAAGGTACATATCTTCTTAAATGAGGACAAGTTATCTTCTCCTATAATTATGACAAGGTATCTCTTAAAATTACAATACAAAAGGCATGTCCTAAAATTCATTTCCTCTTTTAACAACAACAAGGCATTTCATCCTAAAATTATAATGATGTATCTAATATAATTGCAAGGTATTTCGTAAAATTCTTTGTATATGAATGTCAAAAACATTATAATGATCTTCCAAATTTGATCTTTCAACTTAAAAGCATTTAATTGCCAATCCTAGATATTTATAAAGCATATCAGAATCATTTTACGGTAACCTGAACGTAAAACACTGAGGAAAACTGACATGTCCTCCCAGATACAGCAGAGGAAACAAAGTGTTATCAACTACTGGTACGTGTACAGTGGTCAAATTTGTTACCTGCAAAGCATAGTACACAATCATTTTCATGGCTGGCTGGCGAACTTCCTGTATGAAGTCCCTGGCAGCATCCCGTGTGAAGGAGGACAGTATGTTGACAATCTCTCCCAGCACCAAGGGAATCTGGATGTTAACAACGGCAGCAGCAACAGCGCACTGAAACACGACAACAGTACAACAGAAACATGTCTTTAGGATTGGTTTGGTTTATAGGGTTTAACGTGCCCCAATTTGTGCTGTGTATGCGTTCATGCTTGTATGTGAGCCGGAGACCACAGGTACTAGCCTCGTCCGTCAATACACTTATAATATTATATTATAGGTGTATTAACAGACGAGGCTAGTACCTGTGCCTGAGACAGGGTATTTAGGTGTATTTGCCTCCTTGTAATAGCGCAGATCTGATGCCGACTTTGTAGTGCTATCTCACTGAAATACCATGCTGAAGGCACCCAGCACGGTACTCCGCCCGGTCACATCATAATGACAACGGATTAACCAGTAGTTGTCATTACCCTTAATGCTAAATGTTAAGCAGATAATAACAACTACATGTACTACTTTTAAGGACTTTGGTATGTCCAGGCACGGGGACAGAACCCATTGCCTTCCTCACCTAGGCGAACGTATACATTAAAGTCAAAAGTGCAAAAGTGAGGTGTTGCCAAGCAAGGCGCTAGGAAATAAAAGGTACCCAGTAGTTAGAAGTAGAAAGAAAGATCCCAAATGTGGCAATGGGTTTTTATTTGATTTTGTTTGTTCGCCTTTGTGTCTCCGGGTAGAAGGCACATGTTCCTACATCAGTCGCCTCTTAAATTACATGCAGTCAGTAACAGCAGGTGTATTTTTTTCTCGATCGCCGATGTCTTTGGAAATTTGATATCTTTTGATATAGAAATTGAACTAATTAATTACTTAACTTGAATCAGAAATGCTTTCAGAATCGCATAGCCTTACTGGACAGAACTTCTGAAGGAGAACATTTAATTTCAAACAAATTTAGTGGAACATCATGACACAATTGGTCCGGCCATTTCATCTTTAGTGTAGAAAACCCCTCACCACACAAACCAGATTGATTATTACTGACTCACCACTACAGCTGAAATGAGATATAACAGATCTGGTCGTAGTAACTTGAAAAACGCCTTCCAATCAAATCCTGGCTGTTCAATGGACGTGTCAACATTCCTGGACCCGACCAGTCGTGATTTCTGATTTTTGGCTTTACAGTGAGCCTTGGTACCCTTTAAAACAGTCCAAGTCACATAGCCCCCAAGTGTGGCTAGTCCTAACACACAATTCACATGTCTTTCACTAATATTAAACAGCTTCCTTGTTAACCGAGTGCTTATATTCATAGAAAAAGTTCTTCGTCCAATGGAAATTGTTCCTGGTGACTTCGGTGAGGATCCTTGAAACAAGAGTCTATGTGACCCTGATCTGTTGTGCAGTTTGACATTTTTAACACCCAATTGTTTTGTGTAATTTCCTTGGCACTGAAAAAATTGTCTTCCATATTGACTACTTTGGGTGAACCTGAAAAATATAGGTTTGTACATGTATCACTAATTACCACGAATCACTTTTTAAACTTGTATGAAATAGATTATCAGCTGCTCAATGATTTAATTACCATCAAATCGAATAATAAACATTATCTGTTGCCTGGTTATGTACCTTAGAATCACCCTTCTAAATAACCCTGGTAATCCAGTCTTACTGGTGTTGGGATAGATACGATAATTAACTTGCCAACTTTTTTGAAATTTCCATGTTGGAGATTACGCATTCTCAGAAGTAAATACATAAATATTATGTGTGTATGTTCACCCTAGGAAAATCATCGCACTTTTGAAAAGCATTGTTTGAGCTGTTCTTTTAGTTGAAATCGTCAGATCTATTATTTTCATGTTTCAGCCAAGAAAATAATCATCCCCGTTACTGTTCTTCTTTTGTGAACATGGGTCCTTTAAATGCAAATTGGCAAGAATATATGAATTAAAAAGGTAGAGCTAGATTAGAGCCCTGACAACGGACTTAAACATTTTGACAGATACACGTGTAGCTCACAGGCTGGTGTGACATCTATCTGTCAAAAATGGTATGTACTTATTACTCCTTACACCAAAGAAGAAGAAATGTCTAAATCTCAGTGATGAATCTACAATTAGTTTGTATGGCTATTTTTCCACTTTATGGATACAAGATTTGGGTCCCATCTGACATGTTAAATTTCATTATTTATAATTTTTCAGAAACTCTACAGTACAGTACTGTATGGGTCAAATGAATGTAGATTTGTCACTGAAATCTTGAGTCAGGGCCAGAGTATCTGTGTGTCTGTGAACAGGTGAAACTCAGGCTACAATAGAACTACAATGTACATGTGATCTATACCAACCGCTATTGATCAGTTGATTATCTACAATGTCTACATGTGCGATCAGCGTTATATCTAAAAGGACGTTGCTGATTACAGATCAGAAATGTACCTGTACAATTTATTTTATTTAATAAAATATGAGCCATCCTCGATATCCAGGGGTTATGCTCACTTTCGCTCTCTGCATCCCTGGAATATGTCATAGCAAAAATGAAGGCTCAATGTGCGCCACCTTGTTGATGAGACAAGGAGACTAGTTCCATCGTTTGATGTAAGGAACTTCCCTATACAGAACATGAGAAAAATATTGGAGTCACCATTGACAATAAATTAGCATTTAATGTACATATATCTAAAAAAATCAACAAAGCCAACTCTATAATGGGTGTAATAAGGCGTACTATGGAATACATGGACCTGACAACATTCACAGCTTTATACAAAGGACTCGTGAGACCACATCTAGAGTATGCCAACCAAGTCTGGAGCCCCCATCTCATTAAACAGATAGAATTGATAGAAAATGTACAAAGGAGAGCTACCAAGCTAATACCCAGAATGGCTAATCTATCCTACCCCGAGAGACTGCAACGCCTGAAATTACCAACATTGGCATATATCGAAGAGCCAGAGGAGACATGATAGAACTATACAAAATCATGACCGACTTTCATCACACCTAACAAGAACACCACCACCACCAGAGGACAAGAACTCAAATTATTCAAACAAAGAACACGCCTGAATATCCGGAAACATTTATTCCTTCACCGAACCGTGGATATATGGGACGGCCTGCCATCGGAGGTCGTAATGTCACGAACAGTCCGAGCATTTGAACATAGCCTTGACCACCATTGGAAGAACCAACCACTTGTGTATAACCACAGGGAAGCCATCGAAGTCGCACATACTAATGGTCATTGATTGAACTTTAACAAAAATATCACATTTGAACATTTAAAAATTGCGATATACAAGAGACACCCATATACGTACCAACATTTTTATTTTTGAACCACACTCATTCAATTCACAATGTTACTGTAATATGATTACTTATCATTGAACATCTGTTCTCTATGGAACAGTGCAGATAATCTGTAATGGACTCGCAAAAAATACTCAGAAATCATGTTATTAATATGTTTAACCAACTATATGAACTATTGTAACTTTTATAATTGAGCTGACAGCAGAGGAAATTGTACAATTTCCTACAGTCAGAATAAATCTGTGTATCTGTACATCGAAATAATCTCGCGGTCACGTAACGGTAAAAAATGACATGCTTTGAAGTCGGGCGTCTCTCCTTTGTAATCTTCAAAGGACAGGTATCAGCTTAGCGATTGGTCTTTTTTTTTTTTTTACCTGAGACCAATCACACAGCTATCTTCGTGCCTTCAATTTTGCTATGACATCCTATTCCAGGGGTGCAGAGAGCGAAAGTGAGCGTAACCCCTGGATATCGAGGATGAATAAGAGCATGCGTGATACGAACCTCCTAACGAATGAGCATGTTGTATAACTGCTGAACAAGGAACGATGTAAGAACTGCACACTTGCTGAATACATCGTCACTTCGTGTATGACAATATGTCTTCAATCAAATGACGTCTAAGGACGACACAGTACCGGCATAACCTCTAACATGGGGGCTGCCATCTTTACAAAGCTATCATTAAATACGAAAGTAACTCGGGGTCTAATCGTTTACAATATAACGTCCTCTCTTGTTAAAACGTAAAAGACGCGTCACATAGGTGGATCCATATGGGGAGTAGTTATGAATAGGATTAAATTTGTGTCATATCTATCGGTGCTACGAAAGCAGTCTCTAAAATAAAATGTTCACTTCCGGTTTCGTTTTTGCGCTTCAAACGATATTAATTGTGCAATGTCAAAGTCTAGTAATACCCGTAGTAATAAGACTTCCTCGTCAGAAGGATCAGTGTCAAGCAAAGATAAATTCAAGCAGACGACAATGGGCAACTCTGAGAGCACAGATGAATCGCCGACACAGAGAGGACGTGCGGTAAATAGTATTATAGTTCGTGAACCAGTGAAAACGAAAGTTGTTTTCATTGTTGCTGTATTCTTGTAACCATAGATCTATGTATATCTCGAAAAAACGGAGAGACATTGTAGAGTTTACTGATATATGAATACCATGTATAAAGTGTCTTTCCCTTATATCTCCATGTAGATATATATGTTGTTACAGTGAAGAGGCGGGCAGTGAGTTTATGGTTGTTCTTAAAATAACTGTGATTCATGCAGCTGACAAACATGTAAACTCTGAAATCGATTATGTGCAGGGATAATCCTGGAGGGGCCATGGGGCCATTGACCCCTCAAAACTGAAATAGGTCCCTCCAAGTTCCAATTTTCTTTTAAATTTACATAGAATGGCTCCTCTTAATTTTGATATTGACTAAAAATTGCTGAAATGGCCTAATGCTCTCAGATTCCAGGATTTTCCCTGATGTGTACAGTACTGATATACACAATTCAATGCTATGGAGTATTTCATCATGCTAATGTAACAAAGTAGCATGTATAATTAAACCCAGGTTCTTCGTAAGGTTTCTGTACCAGTAATGTAAATATGTTGGAAAGGCAATATACTTATTTTTAATTTATGAAACATGTATAGTAATGAGACAGTATAGTGTAATAGGAAGAGGAATAGTGATAAAGATAATGCCTTCGCTGGGGCTCGAACCCGCGACCCTTGACTCTCAAGCCCGATGCTAAAGGGAAATTCCCTACAGCTGGCGCTTGTACTTCTGGGCAACCTACATGTAATTAATCCACATCTTTTACACTATACCCCCCTTTTTTCAAACACCAGCCCAGGTTCTTGGACTCCTCGCCAAGGGTTCTCCCACCTTGAACGGGGAGGGCCAACAGCACCAGTTTGTAGTAGGACAAGGAATAGTGATAAAGATAGTGCCGTCGCTGGGGCTCGAACCCGCGACCCTTAAGGTGGCTCCACACTTTCGCAATTAACCAGCAAAATTCGTTGAAACTTTCATATAATGGTTATGCAACTATGTAGAGTTAATTTTATGAAAATCTAAACATTCCGATAATACCAAAAAATTGACTTTTGGCCACTTTTAATATTTTCCGTTTTTTTTTGTGTATGGCAATGTTCGGAACAATAACAAGTACAACAATAAAAAAATGAAAAGAAGCATTTATAATTAACCCTACAAATATTTTATTTATCGCAAAATATGTAACACATGTTACACAAAGTGTTTTTTATTGAATTTGAACGGATAAAAGTGATTATCTACAAGCTAAAAGCAAACAGGACACAAAGATCTATACATATAGAGTGGGAAATTGAACAAAATATACACAATGGCTTTATAATTAATTTATTTTACATTTTACAATCACTTTGATCCGGGTGAGAGTTATCTTCCTTGAAAAAAA